AAATTTCGAAAAGTTAACGTGCCATAGTAAAGTGACCAAACGATCTAGACAGCCGTTCTCGGCACCAAAACATACTCCATCATGTTGCTTAAGCATGTTCTGAATCCTAAATTGATATCCCAAAAATCGAGTGTTCTCTGATTTTTTGAACAAATGTCTGCTGGAGCAGATTTTTCTAGAAAAATTCGAATAACTCGAGAAGGGCTGAATCAAATTACAAAAAGTAAAGTTATTCGTAAGCCCTGAAAACAGACAAATCCAAACTTGTAAAAATATACACGGATTCCATTTAAAAAAATAAAGTAGGTGGCGACTTCCGGTATAACCGGAAGTGTTAGATATTTGAAAATATTTTAGTCGAAGAGAACGCAATTGATAATACTTAAATCTGAATTTTCAAATTTGTATTTTGGCCAGAACCCTGTAAAGTTCTAATGGACGGTCGTCGTGGATGACCCTGTATAACAATATATTTTCTGGTTGCCATAAAAAACGAAAAATAAATAAACAAATATTATTATTAAGTCGAAACCAGTCTAAACATACAAATTAATCTTGTTACTTTTTCTCGCTGAAAAAGCGCCATAAAAGAAATAATATTATTATAAAAAAAATAATTACTTGATGTAATTATCACATCAATTGGTGACCCCGACGTGATATTGTAATTATCACAATAAATACAGGGTGATTCAAAAAACCGCTAACAGACTTCCAGAGTAGATAATACATGAAAAATTAAGATGAATAGTCTTAATATACATGGTGTCGCAAATGCCTCGTTGGCGAGCTATAGCGGATCAAAGTTTCTTTAAAATTAAACATTATCTGCAATAAAAAGCACTTTTTTAAAAATATTGTCTACGCCATTGCTCTCTACGCGTGTCAATTATCTATCAATTGGTCTCTTACAAAACTTTGATGAAAGCAATAGTTTTTAAGAAAAACACGTTTGTAGAAAATTTGTTAATTCAATGAAAAAGTGTTAAAGCAATCAAAGTTTTGTAAGAGACCAAGTGATAGATAATTGATCACTTTACACGAAAATACTGCCCGCTTGACAAAATTAGCAGTGGAGTTGAAAATATTTTTAAAAAAGGGCTTTTTATTGCAGATAATGTTTAATTTTAAGAAACTTTGACCCGCTATATCTCGTTAAGGAGGCATTTGCGACCCCATATATATTAAGACTTTTCATCTTAATTTTTGATGTATTACCTGCCCTAGAAGTCTGTCAGCGGTTTTTTGAATCACCCTGTATAATAATAATGCATTAAAATGTGAGGGTCCTTGGTGTACTCATTTTGCATAATTTACATCTAAACAAAATCAAAAAAACTAATAAACGTTTCAACTTCAACAGTAATGATTTGACATCTGCTAAACTGATCATTCAAATAAATTAAATTTTTTGATTGATACTGGGGCAGATATTTCGGTAATTCCGAGAAATACATTTGCGGATTTTAAAAGGGATAAAGACACCTTTTTAACAGCTGCAAAGGGATCAACAATTCCAACTTATGGAAAAAAATTATTGAAAGATAATTTAAACCTCAGGAGAGTTTTTCCATTCGTTTTTACTATCGCAGATGATTCTCGACCAATCATTGGAGCAGACTTTTTATCCCATTTTGATATTTTAGTTGATATTAAAAATCATCGATTGATTCTAAAACTAAACTAATTTCTATCGGCTCCATAACCTGTTCATCTATTCCACCCCCAAAGCAGTTTGTTGTTGAAACGAAATACACCCAATTAATTAAGAACTATCCAAATTTGATTTCTACATCTAATTTCTCTTCTCCAATAAAACATTCCATCCGTCATCATATTATTACTAAAGGACATCTTCTTTTTTGTCGCCCTCGTCGGCTAGACGCTAACAAATATAAAATTGCTAAAGCAGAATTTGAACAGATGGTAGAATATGGTATTTGTCGACCGTCCTCATCATCTGTTACTTCAGCTCTTCACATGGTTAGTAAAAAAGATTCTGCAGACTGGCGTCCTTGTGGTGATTATAGACAACTGATTGTTCTTACGATACCAGATAGATATCCCTTACCACACATTCAAGATTTTAACTTGCAAATTCATGGATTTTCCCTAAAATTGATTTAATTAGAGCTTATCACCAAATCCCAGTTGCAGAAGATATTTATAAAATTGCAATTACAACACCTTTTGGACTATTTGAATTTTCACGGATGCCTTTTGGATTACGCAATGCTGCTCAAACATTCCAAAGGTTCATCAACGAAGTGACTAAAGGTTTGAACTTTATTTTCGTTTATCTGGATGATATATTAGTTGCGAGCAAGGATGAAGATGAACATTTAGATCATCTTAAGCAACTATTTAATCGATTAGACCAATATGGTATTAGTCTTAAACTCTCAAAATGTGAGTTTGGAGTTCCACAATAAAATTTTTTAAGTCACACTGTCTCTTCAAAAGGAATTCTTCCTTCAAATGAAAGAATATTTGAATATCCTTTAACCTTATCTTTTTCCTCTAAATCAGAAAAAAGTCC